GTATTCATCATTAGACTCATCCAACACTTTCCGAATCCTGTGCACTGTCCTCAGATTTAACCCAAACATTCTGAAATGTCCATATTAAAGCTTCCGGTGCGAATGCCAAGCAGTACAGCATGACGTTTCCAAATTTCTGGCGGAATAAACTGCGCCCTGGTGCTCTTTTTCTCAAAGACAGTGCCCAAAATAACTCTACTATAGTTTGCAGTCGACAAAATAAAAAATAAACAACGCGCATGCGTGAAATTAAAAATATAAAATAGCGACAATTAACCCATCGCAACCTGTTTATATACTCCTTACGGAAGTGTGTTCTTGATGAAAACAAATTTATGAATAATAATTACATCGGATATACAACTAAATACCTATCGCGGAGACTTACTTTGAACCTTTCGTATCATAGCTTCATTAGGACCTACTTAAATACTCATGTAGACCTACCAATCTCTAAATCTCCCAAAAAGAAATGCAAGAAAAGGCAAATGGAAGAAAAATATACTAAAAAGGTTAATCGCAGTGTCTTGGCAGTCGTTGTCAATGAAACCTATGTGTATATTTGAAGAAATTTGACAAATGAAAAATCGTTTCATTGAAACTAGATTTGACTACGCGTTTCGCTTTTCTAGATTTGTTCAGATCCAAAAACGGAAGAAAGAATTATGCGTGTGTATTTGAGTGTCTGCTGAAATAATAAATCATTAATATTACTTTTTGAATCTGATGAAGCCTAGAAAGTCGAAACGCGTTTTCTAGTTGTCTAGTTTTAATGAAACGGTTTTCTATTTGTCAAATTTCTTCAAAACTTTGTCAAGATCATATATCCTCTCTCTCTCTCTCTCTCTCTCTCTCTCACACACACACACACACATACATATATATATATATATATATATATGTGTGTGTGTGTGTGTGTGTACTACTATGTGTGTGTGCGTACGTGCATGCGTGTGTGTACACTTATTAAAGCATTATTTCTTATCACTTTAAACGTTATTGAGTGTTTAAACCCCTCTCTTGAGGAGTATACACATTCGGATACTTACCTGGCACAGGGATCTGCTGGTGGTATCACAGCTACGACTAGCTTGGACCGGCTCTGACCAGCTTGGACAAGCTATGACCATCTTGGACCAACGGCCCGAGTGAAAACACTCTAGTCCCACGTTAAAATCTGCCCTTGTGTCACAAACTGACTCAGTGGGGAGGTCAAGTAAATATTTACTTTCAATGTTATATTTTTTTAAAATTACATCTACGGTCCGATGCAATCGAGAGTTTTAATAGAGGATTTTTATTCCGATAGGGTTCTGGTCTGCGTTTCCCTTTGTAAGGAAAATCACTGTTTGATACGGTCTCGTGGGCTGTAAAGATTTCTGGATTTAGCACATATCTAGATTGAAATACATATATATATATATATATATATATATATATATATATATATATATATGTGTGTGTGTGTGTGTGTGTGTGTGTGTGTGTGTACAGGGTGCGAGTGCTATTTGAGGACATCTTTAGTATGTTAAATAAACAGCAATATCTTAGCAAACAATGCATATATTTAATTCAAATTGACACAAATATCATGATACTTCTTTATCTAATTATTCTATGAATCCACCTTTGGCTTGAATGACTGCTTCTATTCGGGCTCGAAACCGTCTACAAGCTGCAATTAAGTGATCCCTATTCATTTTGGACATCACCTGAACAATGGCGGCCTTCAGTGCAGTACCATGAGGATATCGATTAGTCTCCCTTTCAATGACGCTCCACACGTAATAGTCCATAGGATTTAAATCTAGAGAGTTGGGGGAGGAGGCAAATGTTTGAGAGTCACATGATCGTAAAAAAATCCTTGATAACCAATCCTGGGTTACAATGGCTTTGTGAGAAGGTGCAGAGTCTTGTTGAAAGACATATGGCCTTCCATTGCATACTTTATTTATCCAGGGCGTAACAATCTTTTTAAGAACATTAATATATCCAGCAGCATTGACCCTAAAACCTTGTGGGAAAATGTAAGGTGGCATGACATGACCTTCACTGCTCACAATTCCTAAAACCATCACAGTGGCCGGATATTTGGTGTGCATCACCCTGGGTACTTCAGAAGGAGATGCACATAGCCACCTGTCATTCCATCTGTTTGTTTTCTGATCTTGGTCAAATGTTTTTTCGTCAGAGAAGAACCAAAGCCTGCCATATTCGTGGGGATTTTTCACTTTGTTCAGCAACCGTTTTGAACGCATGAGACAGTTTTCCTGTGTCTTCGCCGATATGAATTGGAATTTTCTCATTACATATGACTTATATCGAATGTCCTGATGTACCACGGTTCTGATAGTCCACTCTGATGCCTGGTGTTCTTTGGCGATGGACATCATTGATCTTCCGGGGTTCTCTTCGATGATGTTTTGAACATTCCGTATAAATTCTGGTGTTCTCATAGTATCAGAGCGCGGTGAATACTTTTTTTTTTCTTTTTGCTACAGGGGAAACATTGTCATCACATCTCTCTAGCTCCAACCGAACCTTATGAACAAATGATCTGGCAACATGTAAAAAGTTACTGATTTTTAAAATCACTATGTTTTGCAACTAAAGCAACAATGACTGCGTGTCTTTACATTTCTTGGGTTAACATCTTCCTCTGACTGGGTTATCTGAAATAAAAAATAAAATATTATAAATGATTTGAGTATGTAGTGAACTTAAAACAATATGTCCTCAAATATCACTCGCACCCTGTATATAGTTAATGGGAATCTACCCAAGCAATGCAGTAATGTCACTAAAACTCAAGTGGTGTGGAAGAATTAAGAACAAATGCATTAATGATGAGTAAAAAGAGGAGATAGTAATCAGATGGACAGTAGATAGCGATTAACATTGTATTTAAATATTTGCAGATTAAAGTTGGTTGGAAAATATGGAGCCGGAAGGGAGTTCCACAAGCGAGAAGTGTGTTAGAAGAAACTGTTAGCATAGAACTTACGGTTACATCTAGCCAGCTCAACTGCAAATTAATGAAATCTCATTGCCAATCTATTACTATGGCTATCAAACTAAAAGTTAGTTAATTGCCATACGTAATAGATATTTGGGCGATCATGTCTCTTTCGATTGATGACTGACTGGGCAGAAGATTTTCCCGTAGTGTATTGCCGTTGCTTTCTGCAGTAGACTGGTTGCCGGCCGAGCCTATAGGATCCAGTCTGTCCTACCATAGCTAGAGATAGATTCATACCTTTCCCAAGGGTATTTGCACGTAAGTGAATGCAGCGAACACGACTGGATTTCGATGTAGGCTATGAGCTAAATAGCAGGGTAGAATATGCTCTCTATACATAATTGGCAACAAGTAGAAAAACTCTGAATTCTAAACGGTTGAGAAGCCATCGAGAAACCACTATATTTTACAGGAAATCCTGGCAATTCATCGATAATAAGGGAAAGGAACCTGGGAACAGTTATGACCGCATACGTCCTGAAGGGATATGATATAAAAAAAATGCAGTAATTTTCAAAATATCATGTCGTTCAATTTGCTCCTATTCGCTAAACGTTCATTTGTTGAAACCCTTTGGTTGAAGAAAACTGTTATTTATATTTTACTTTGCTTGAGATAACGATATATATATTTTATATATTTCAAAAACAGTATTGGAGAAAATATATGACAAAGTGGGAAAAATTTACTTGTTACGCGTTTTATCCTTTAGAAACTTAGTCCGCGTCACAAGTAAACATTTCCCACTTTGTCATAAAATTTTACTTAACTTGTAAATCCTAACTTCCTTCTTTTTATGCGCCATATCTTTTCAGAACGTAGGCGATCATGGCCCTCCACTTCCTCCTATCCCTTGCAGCTCTCAACAAGTTCCTTCCTTCTGCTTCCTTCCCCAGACCACGTTCTGTCATCCACTTGCTTAAGTCCGCCAGAAGTCACGTGTTGTTTTTCCTTGTCTCACTTTCCCTCTATTCGACCCGAGAGTATCAGATTCTCCAGGCCATCCTTCCTCATTATGTATCCCAGAAACTTCAGCTGCCTCTTCCTGATATTAAGTATAAGCCCCCTCCTTGTTAGCAACCTCTCTAGGATCTCATCGTTGCTCAAACGCTCGGTCCATGATATCCTTAATATCCTTCTATAGAACCATATCTCTGTTGTCTCGGGCCTCTTCTTCATCTTTGAGAAAATGGTCCAAAATCAGCTGCTGTAAAGAAGGGAAGATGTCACGTAACAGTTCAGAATTCTTTGCTTTTATTACGTAAGATATCAAAGATATTAAAAGATACCTAACTCAGAAAGCGTCAATTGACTTCATAAGGTTTTTCTTCATATAGTTTTGATTTGGATTGTTATAATGCTGTATGTTTGAAAATTTGGTATTACATATGTTTTTGTGATTCAGGATTTATCTGATACTGCATTCCCTTGATAATTGATGGTGGCCAATTAACTAAAAATCAGTGGTAATTTAAAACCGCGTTAAATGATTCTAATTCATCCTGCCATTAGAAATGTAGGACAAAAAATGGAGGGAAATATTTAAGGTTACAATAGAAACGATATCCAAGCTCAACGTTACGTTTACTTAAAAAGAACCAATCTTCTCCTCCTCCTCCTCCTTCTTCTCCTCCTCCTCCTTCTTCTTCTTCTCCTCCTCCTTCTTCTTCTCCTCCTCCTCCTTCTTCTTCTCTTCCTCCTTCTTCTTCTTCTCCTCCTCCTCCTCCTTCTTCTTCTTCTTCTTCTTCTTCTTCTTCTTCTGTGCTTCTTCTTCTGTGCTGCTTCTCTTCAGGACATAGGCGATCATAGCTCTCCACAATTTCATATCTCGTGTAACTATTAGCAATTTTTTTCTTTAATGCTGGACAATGTCCTCAGAGATGACTAAAATACTTGAGGTAGTAGAAATGTGGTTCTACAGGAGGATGCTGAGGACACTATGGATCGAACAATGTGAGCAACGACGAAGTTTTAGAGAAAATGGAAACAAAAAGGAAACGCATATCAGGAAGAGAGTTAACATTTCTAGGGCACATAATGAGGAAAGAGGGCTTAGAAAACCTTATACTCACAGGACAGATTGAAGGCAAGAAGAAAACAATGCATAAGCTACTTAGTGAACTTGTCTAAACAAGTGGTGGAACAAGATTTAGGAGAGATCACAAAAGGACAATATTTATTAAGAGCCATAAACATTTTGGAAAGCGACGACTGCCTATGTCCTGAAAGACAAAGAAGAAGAAGAAAAAGGAGGAGAGGGAGAAGGGGAGGGTGGACAAGAAGAAGGAGGAGGGGGAGAAGGAGGAAGGGGAGGAGGAGGATAAGAAGTTGTAGGAGGAAGAGGACAAGAAGAAAAAGATGGAGAAGGAAGTAGAGAAGGTGAAAGAGGAGGAGAATGAGGAGGAGGAGGACAAGAAGAAGAAGAAGAAGAAGAAGAAGAAGAAGAAGAAGAAGACAAACAACAACAACGAGAAGAATAAGGACGAGGGGAAGGTGGACAAGAAGAAAGAAGAGGAGGAGAAGAAGAAGGGGAAGGAAGACAACTAGAAGAAGAAGAAGAAGAAGAAGAAGAAGGAGCAAGACAAGAACAGTGAGAAGGAGGAGGAGATGAAGAAGAAGAAGGGGGAAGAGGAAAAGATGGAGGAGGAGGTGGAGAAGGTGTAAAAGAAGAAGAGGGTGGAGGAGGAGGACAAGAAGAAGAAGAAAGAGAAGGCGCAGGAGGAGGAGGAGGGGGAGAAGAAGAAGATGAAGAAGAAGAAGAAGAAGAAGAAGTAGAAGAAGAAGAACAATAAGAAGAAGGTTCCCGCCCATGTTCCGCCATCCATTCACACAAGCTCCTCAGATAAGTGGCTCGCCTTTCCCTATCTCTCCTGCCCTCGTGAGTGTTTGGTTTTCCAAGCCTCCATTTCTCATTATCTGTCAAATGGATTTCAGCTGTATTTTCCTGATTTTGTGTTCTTTCCGTTGCCATTCAATTTAAGACTTCCTTGGGGCTTACTCGTTCCGTCCACGATTTGGTTTCGTTTGGTTTGTTTGTTTAACGGCATATCAACTCCTTATGGGTCATTTAACGCTGAAATTTAATGTTATTAGGAGCTTTGATAATTTTTTTCTTTTTACTATTAAAATATCATGCTGGAATTTTTTTTAAGATTAAAATCTATTGCTGGTATTTTTACTACGAAAATGTATTTTTATAATTTCATAGAATTTGGATTCCAGTTTGGGTGTTCACTATTTGCCTATAGCTGGGATCCTAACAGATGCTACACCTCCGTGCCAAAGTGGACCTGAGAACAGAAGCAATTTAGAGCTGGTTCCACGCTTCTCAAAATCAACCAATCAGAGGTCTTCCTGTCGGATATAGTTTATTGTCATACCCAAGACACTAAGTTCATGGAATTTACAATGTCCTTCCGTAGAACGACATTTCTGTTGCCTGTGATTTTAGAAAAAAAAATATTCGGTCAGTTACATGCCACGCGTGATACACGCGCAGGCGATCATGTATCTTTCGATATATGACAGAGGAGGCAAATTTTTTCTCGCAATAGGTTGCCTTTTCTTTCTGCGTTAGACCTGTTGCCATCCAAGACTAAGAAACCGGGCTGTCCTGCTATTTACCCATGGCTGGAGGGAGAAGAAGAGGATTCATACCTTTCCCAAGGGTATTAGCACGTAAATAAATGTAATGGATTTAACTGGAATTCGAATTCGGCTCTCTGATAACTGAATCCGAGCCGCTATCCATTACTCCACCGTGTCTCCATCAAAATATTACGCATCATGTTTTCACAAATAAATAAACTGCAGCTGAAAAACGTTCAATGCTCTCAATCTCTTCTTTCTCTCTCTCTCACACACACTCTCTCACCCTCTCTCTCTCTCTACACACACACACACACACACACACACACACACATATATATATATATATATATATATATATCCAATGCGATGAGAACGAAAGTAATATGTAAATTCTAACGTTCACAGCATTAATCCGAAAGAGGGCTCGACATCGATAGTAGAGCGATAATTATTTATTATAATTTTATCATATAGACAAAAACAGTTTACTCACTACAATGATGCAACTTCGTTTCGGTGCATTTCAATTGCACCTCGACTGGTGAGAACCAAAAATGGTTATTTTGGATGGATAACCAATTTTGGTTATCACCAGTCGAGGTGCAATTGAATGCACCGAAACGAAGTTGCATCTTTGTAGTGAGTAAACTGTTTTTGTCTATATGATAAAATATAATAAATTATATATATATATATATATAAATGCCCTTCAGTTTTAATTCCCCCCGGCCCATCTCTCTCCCCACCCCTTTTTCTTTTCCTCTTCCTCCCTCTTCTTCTGATCTTGAAGATGAGATCGTCTATTGTGTGTGCATGTCACCACAAAATGTATCCTTTCCAGTTACATCTTTAATATATTAGACATCCGACAACATTCATATTTCTCTCACTTAAACCGTCTTTGACTGACCTCTCTAAAACTTCTCTCTGTAAAATTTTAATCCCCAACCTTCTCTCGTCTGTTACCCCTCTCTATAGCTCTAATATTTGTCCCACACTCTCATACTTACACTATCTATAAATTTTATTTTTTATTTCCGGAGTTGTTTCTTCTGTTTTCTTTTTGAATTTGTAGGTCTGATGAATTGTATCGTATTTACGATTACACTGGAATAAATTATGACCATGGAAAATTAGCCTTTTAATTATATATATATATATATATATATATATATATATATATATATATATACACTACAGTTCAATAGTAAAGGAATGACTAAGAGGAAAATGCAACGAGAGTGCACTACTCTCAAAATTCTCGAAAATAAACCTAAAATAATACATAATAATCCCAACAACCATGACAAAATTAGACACATAATCCTACCTATCAATTCCATAACAGCCACCATCGAAGATAACTTATCCAACCTTAACCTAAAATTCATCAAACAGAACAGAGGCATGAATATACAAAATCGATTGTACAACATGACCAATGGTGTATATCGGTGAAACGTCCAGAAAGCTCCTAAAAAGAAAGACTATATGAGCATGACAGTGATATGTTACATTACAACACTTTAAATAAACTGGCAGTTCATCGTAACACATCTGACCACAATTTTGACTAAATTCAAGTCCAATCCACAGGGAAATGGATTAAGAATATGCATTGAAAGTGCACGGATATCACAATTCTCGACAATAAACCTAAAACCAGGATCATAGATAATATCACCGATCATCTCAAAAGCAATAGTAGCACAATACAATCTAAGAGAGAAAATAACAGAGATATCTTCGAAGTGGACTGATTTAAAATCCAACAGACACCAACGGCTCAAATATTTTTCCTGAGAATGTTTTTTGTTGAGCTGATGGAGATGGCTACTAAATCCGTCTCGTTCAGCTTCAATAATATTATGCATCGACAGATTGATGGAGGATCGATGTGAAGTCTTCTGGGACCTCTTGTGGCTAATATTTTCGTTGGATTCCAGGAGAAACAAATGTTTGATAAGGTTTCCAAACCATATTGTTACATACGTTATAGCGAGGCGAATAGATTTTTCAACATTTGAACAACAATCTCCACCCCTCCTTATATATATATATATATATATATATATATATATATAAAGCATTTTCTAAAGTAGTAATGGACTTTATTTAATCCGACATATTTTTATTGCTGTAACTGTTATTCTGTAGCCGTATTTTAGTAGTCGCTTTTATTTTAAATAATATCTTTAATAACATTTCTCGAATGTGCAGGCCGGTAGACGAAATAAAATACTGTTTAAAATAAACGGAACGTCTACTAAAATACGGGTATCCACTAAAAATAACGTTTAAAATTATATATATATATATATATATATATATATATATATATATATATAACCCATTTCTGATCACTGGTAGTCGAATTTGATAAAGTAATTTAATTTATTGCCTCTTTTATCCTAAAAAAATCCCGACTTTGTTTTCCTTACGCGCAGTTTTGACTTTCATTCTCAGCTGAAGAAGCCGAACCTCACACACGCTTGCGAAACGCGTCTTACATACCGGGTGTAACATCAAAATTATTCAAATCGTGTAACAGCATAATTGTCCATCCCACAAAACGTTTAATATCTAAAAAAAAATACTAAACTGTGTTTCTTTTTTTCCATGTTTTCAGATAAGACGTTTAGCTATATTGATATCACTGAAAAAAAAAAAAACCTTTGAGTTATTCAGCTAGAAAGCGAACAAAAATCGTTTTGTGCCCGCCCCACTGTCTTCCCAAATAGGCAATGTTGAGAAGAAGAAGAAGAAGATCATTTAAGTCTTCTGCAATGGTACCAAAAATTGATATTGTTGCTTCCCTCTTCAAAATTCATTCAAAAACAATCAACAGAACAATGAAAAAGTTTAAAAAAGAGTGAACGGTAGAGAGGAAAACTGGATCAGGAGGTCACAGCAGGAAGAGGGATCATCATTTCAACTTAGAGCTAAAGAGATAAATTAGAAAAGATCCAACACAATCCATAAGACTTTTGGCATGTGAGAGAGGAGTTTTGGCCCTGACAGTCCAAAGAGCAGTGAAAAAACACTTGAAAATGAAATGGTACGTGAAACCTATGAGGCACCTTATTACTCCAGGACAGAAAGTTAGAAGGTTAGAGAAGGCGAAGATCATCTTAAATAAGTTGGCAAATGATCCTGGAATAATATATATATATATATATATATATATATATATATATATATATATATATATATATATTTGGACTTAATTTCAATCCTTCATGAGCTTCTGATGCTCAGCTATGATTAATTAATGATGAACATGTTAATTTCGTTTATGATCGATTTCATCACGATTCTTCTGTTAAGCTTGGGGAGTAATTACATATTCTTATAGCTCAACAGAGTTATAAAAGCTCTGAGAACTCCAGTAAGATATATGTAATCATTTCTAAGAAACAACGGTTCAGATCTTAATCTAACAAATGGACTGTTATTTTACATTGAACATTGTTTTGTTATTACCCACTGTACATTATATATATATATATATATATATATATATATATATATATATATATATATATATATTATTAAATAAATATAACACAATGAATGTCTACTTTGCCTGATCATGAGCCGTTCGAATGTTTGCTTTAATTTCTAGTGAAAATAAAGAAAAAATTGTCCAACATTTGGATATTTTTTATAAGTTGGTCCTAAGCTTTCGGCTTACATGAGTCATCCTCAGAGTGGTTATACAGGCAGGAAACAAAGATATCCACCTTCAAAGATGATATTTTGTAATTTGACATAGAAAATTTCTATGCGACGATAACGGTCGTGGAGTAGCAGACGCAAATCGGAAGATGCAGTTCTATGACGTCATACCACATGATAGACCGAAGTATTACAACAGAACCAATGTCCAGATGCAATGTAATGTGTTGTGGCTAGTTTGAAATGTAATTTTGTTGAGTGTGGGTTGCTTCGTTTTAATGTAGATGGCCTCCAATACCTGAAGGTTCCTTTTATTGTGTGTATACGTGAGTATTATTGTGTTATCAACTAATATCTCTCTAATATTATGTACATGGCTATGTTTTTCTAAGAAATGTTGTTTAATAGAACTAAGATCAGAAATGTGACAGGTGAGTCAACGGGAGAGCGTGGTTGTAGTAAAACCAATATATGTAGCGGGTATATTATTAGCATCAGAGATAGAATCTTTGAAAGGACATCTAAACTAAATACTACAGTTGTGTAATTATA